ATCCTTAGGATACCAAAGACCTAGTTTAGGAGTTTCTTTTAGATATCTGAAAATTCTTTTGAATTCCCTTATATGAGATTCCTTTAGAGATGCTTGATATCTTACACAAAGATTGGTTCTAGATATAATGTCAATCTGTAACGCCCCGATTCTCAGGTATTGTTTAAATAATATTTATTGGGTTAAGCTCTACTCGACGAATTGGTTGCCCTACTCATCGAGTAGCAACGGGGTGGGATCGCGTGTTAGGTGACCTACTCGACGAGTCCATATTGGGACTCGGTGAGTAGGAGCTGGCAGATGAAACCCTAAATCTCGGGGTTTGCACCCCTATTTAAAAGAGCCTCAGCCTCCTTTTGCCTCTTTGCAATCTTTGAGAGCTCCTTAAAACCCTAATTCGTGTGGTATTCCATTTTGGTGTGTCTTAAGCTTGGAAAGAAGGTTGGCTAGAAGAGAAAAGCTAGAAGTGCAAAGGAATTGAAGCAAGGAAGGTGTGGGAAGCTGAATTTACCTCAACTAGCATCCATTGGAGGTATCAACTTGCCTCCTTACTTCTCTTTTTCCTTTTGTTGAGTTTTTGAGGGTTTTTATGGATTTTGAGGTTGATAAGGTGGGCTATGGGCTAGATCTAAAGTTGTAACTTCAGATCTGGACCCTCCTTAAGTTTTAGAATTATAAAGTTGTTGTGTTGGTCGTGAATGAGGCCCTCCTTGGGCATACGACCCCATTAAGAGCTTAGATTGGACATTAAGAACCTTTGTAGCTATGCATGCACGTAAAGTTTGCAACTTTATGTGAAAAGCATGCCCTAGAAGCTTGGATCTGTGATTTGGAGCCGCTGAATGGCTCAAAATAGGTTTGTATGGAAAAAGAACTGAATGGACTCGGAGAGTCGCAAGGTTGACTCAGCGAGTCACATGAAGATGGCCATGAACTCGACGAGTTGGAGGAACAATTCGGTGAGTCCGATGATGATTGCCATAGACGCGACGAGTTGAAGAACAACTCAGCGAGTCGGATGAGTTTTCTCCAGGATATGTATGCGTGTGTATCCGTCGAGTTGCAAAGGGGAAACTCGATGGGTGGCCTTAAAGTTTGATCGAGAAACGAAGGAACTTGACGACTCACCCTGATGACTCGGCAAGTTGGAATGTGCTTCAAGGAACTCGGCGAGTAGCCGAGGGTACTCGGCGAGTAGCCGAGGGTACTCGGCGAGTCGAGGTCAACATGGACTGTTGACCTTGATTGAGGACTTTGAATTTGATCAGGGGTTGACTAGTGGGTTATGGAGTACCTTATAAGGTTAAGGACTTACGAGTATATTGTACTATGATAATAGGTGGTGGAGCTTGTTTCAAGTGATACGAGAGTTGGAGTTTACCTTCCGAGTCAACATCTGCGAGGTGAGTTATCCTCACTATATCGATAGGGTCTACGGCACCAAGGCCGACCCTTTAGTTGTTATTGTTATGGTATGCTGCATGGGGTTATGATCTGTTAGATCAGAATTAGGGAGACAGTATGTTATGCTCTTATGATCCATAGGGATTGGTATGTTAGTGACCTGCTAGGTCGATACTCTAGTTATAGGAGAATTATATGATTGATGACCAGTGAGATAGATATGTTTGATGTTTGTATATGCCAGTATATGATAGTTATGTGCACATGGTTATTTGCTTGTTGGTTGGTTTGAGGCGGTCCTGCTTTATGATGAAGGCCAACATACCCTATGAGCGGTCCGGGGAGACTGTAGGCCCACGTAGCGGACCAGTCATGCCGAAGGCTCGGGATAGATCCAGGTAGACTGTAGGCCCGGTAGGGCGGTCCAGTCAGGCCGATGGCCCAATATGCATGTTGATTGATTGATTATTACTTATATGTTATTGTCAGTGTGGTATTGGTATTTTGGGGGTAGCTCACTAAGCCCTCGGGCTTACAATTTTCAGTTTGTTGTTTCAGGTACTTCAGGAGATCATGACAAGCCGAAGGCGTGACCGTACCGCTCCTCATCCTTCTGATGGATATTGATTTGAAAACATTTTTGTAAACAAACGCTGTTTAATTTTATTTATGATTGAAAAAGTTTAAATTTGGCGTAAAATTTATGGATGTTACACAATCTTGCTAACTGTTAGATATAATAGAGGACCAATCAAATTATAAGGAAGGATTAACAGTTTTATCATCAGTGTCAGTCCATATCTTATCAGAGGTTGACATGGAAGTCTTAGTCGGCTTATAGTCTTAAACGGAATACTTTAGAAGACTAATTATGAACTTGCTTTGATTGATGAATATCCTTTGAGAAGTTTACTTCACCTGACATCCAAGCAAGAAAGTCACCACTAATTATGCTCATTTCAAACTTGCTAACCATTATACTACCAAAATCTTCACATAACCTCTCATTGTTAGATCCAAATATTATGCCCTCAACATAAATTTGAGCAAGGATCAAATATGTACCATTCCTTTTAAAAAAACAGTGGGTTATCAATTGCCCCCCCCCCCCTTGTAACCATATTCAACTAAGTAGCTAGACAAACGTGTCATACCATCACATGATCAAGGTAGTCTTCTAGATCAAAACATGGAGGTTGTTTTAGAAACACTTCCTCCTGAAGATGACCATGGAGAAATGCAACTGGACCAAAGGTTTCATCATAGTCTAATCCTTCCAGATGAGTGAATCCTTGATCAAACAATATAGATTTCTTCGTGGTGATGATTCCATTCTCATCTAGCTTATTTTTGTACACCCAATGAGTTCCAACAACAGGTTTGTTTGCGGGCCTTGGAACCAAATTATGAACTTCGTGTCTTTTAAATTTAGGCAACTCAAATTCCATAGACTTGATCCAATCAGGGTCCTTCGGTACATATGTTGTCTTCTTGGGTTCTATAAGAGAAACAAAGTTAACATGAAGATAGTAATGGATACCTAATTTCTAGTCTTGACATGGATAAGTCAAAAATGATTTGAAATGTGGTATAATCCCTGAGAATAAGTGGAGCGAAAGCACAATCAGTGGTATGATTTATTTAGGAGTTATCAGTGATTATGTCCAAACATGCAGGATTAGGAGACTCATCATTTACAACATAATTTGGATAAGTTGTAGAGTCTGAAAAGTTAACAGTTGATTGTTAACTATTTTAAACAAACAATAGAGATATGTTGGGAGAGGTGCAAGAATAACAACTGTTATTGATAGTTTAATTAGTGGAAGAGAGGGATTGAATTGGTACATACAAAATTGACTTTGCTTTTCATCAGTGGATGGCTTTGAAAGAGAATCTTCATTGAACTTGATATATATGGATTGATTCTTCAACAATCTTTCTTTTAATGTTGTAGACTCTGAATGATTTTGAGATTGAAGACTATCCCATGAAAATTTCTTTGTTAGCTTTTGCTTGAAACTTTTTTAGTTGATCTCTCTAGTTTAGGATGAATGAAGGACAACCAAATATTAAAAATAAGATATGTTAGGGGGTTCTACGTTTGATTACCCCAAAGGAAGTTGTATTATGCCTTTTTTTTTTACCAAAATTGACCTATTTTGTGTATAATAGACAGTGTTGACTGCTTCAGCCTAAAACTGGATGAGAAGATTAGCTTCAACTAACATAGTACTTCCAACATCAATAAGATTCGTGTTTCTACTTTCAACAACATCATTTTGCTCAGGGGTTCTAACTATTGAGAAATTTTGAAAGTTCAAAGTCTTCAAAGGTGGCATTCCTAAACTCCGTTCAATGTCTCGAATTGGTCGTTGATTTTTGCACAATAGACCATTAGTATTAAGTTGTACTTGTTAATTATATCATTATGTGACCTGCTACAACAGAAAGAACCAGTTACTTAGGTGATGTGACAATTTAAATTATATTTCTATATGTTTTTAGAATGAAAGAAATATCCATTATGAAAAATAATTTTTATTTATATATAATTTGATTTTCTTCCACCACCACCACCATCCACTCCACCCTTACTATCACCTTGACAACCACCTTCCATTTCCCTTCACCACCGGATTAAAAACAACCAAGCAAAGAGGATAGATCCACCATGGCTACAGACTCACTGGGTTGTAACTTGATAGTGGACCCCACATAGTCGAAATGTATAAAATCACGTAGCTAGAAAATACAAGTGCAAGCCTCTACAAAAACATCATTGCATAAGCAACATATAACTAGAAGCATGAAGAAAAAAAAATGTAAATGAATATGAGAATGATGAAAGAAATAGTGACCGATTCCAAAAGTGGAATCATCAAGAAGAAAGAGGCAATCGTTTCAACCCTTTCTAATCCTAATCTCAATTCCAACACCGATTCCGACAATACCACCGTTGGATGTCACCAATGCTCTTAAACTCTTCCTTGATCACATCCCGATCTCCTCCATTCCTAGAATCCACAATTCCCCTCCACTGGTACACTTTCCAATCGCAAATTCATTATGAACCGACACCAAATTAGGGTTTTCGACAACTTTCATGTATCAAATTAGGGTTTTCGTCGTGAACTACTTGCTCACTGGTGTAAACATCTCTTAAATCGAAGTCAAGTTTTTGTCATAGATGTTTGGTTTCCATGTTCTTCGGAATCCATTTCGATGGTGGTGAGATACGCCGTCTTGGTTTTAATTTTAATGTTGGACCGTACAAAAATAAAACTGTGATACCAATTTAAATTTTAAACAAACCTCAAAGTTGATTTTGCTGATGTGTAAATTTCCCTTTATTTTTCTCTTCAGAAAAAGCATCACATTGCAAACGTCTTCATAGCCGTTGGGCAAGTAATTTCTCCAACTAGCCGTTATCAAACAAACGGTCGTCAATGCGTTTTGTATCTGTATATACACACACACACCAAACCCTTCTATTCAATACCATCTAACTTCTCCTCCCATCACCGCTAGTGTAACTACATCGCCACCAACACCGCCACAGCTCCCCGGAAAACTCAGACAACAAGTTTAAGCAAATGGGTCTCTCAAGCGATGCTCAATCACACTACAAGACACACAAACTCTTCCTCATCAGCAATTACATCTTACTGGGAGCAGCCTCCAGTTGCATCTTCCTCACACTCTCCCTCCGCCTTCTCCCCTCCGTCGCCGGCGGACTGCTTGTCCTCCTCCACATCATCACCATAGCCGGAGCCATTTCAGGCTGCAACGCGGTGTCGGCCGGGTCAAGCAAGTGGTACGCAGCCCACATGGTGGCGGCTGTCCTCACCGCGATTTTCCAGGGATCTGTATCTGTACTGATTTTCACGACGACTTCGAATTTCTTAGCGGCGTTGAAGTCGTACGTGAGGGAGGACGATGCGGCGGTGATATTGAAGATGGCCGGTGGACTCTGTGTTTTGATGTTCTTTATGGAATGGTTGGTTTTGACACTTGCTTTCTTCTTAAGGTATTATGCTTTTGTTGACGGAAACCGGACCACCGGGAAGGTACAGGCGGAGGACGACTCTAAGTGGTGGGCAACACCGTTCCAAGTTTAAGTCATGTGATGAGAAGTAGAAATTAGATAAATTTTTATGTTTTATTTATTTTGAATATTTTGCTTTATTTATTTATTTATTGAATATGATTCATTCGTTCACTAAGAATATTTTATAAAAAAAATATTGTTGAACTGTGTAACTATTGCCTGATAGAGTAAGAAATGGTTTTTTTTTTTTTTTTTTAAATGCTATTGAATTGGGTTAATGGACACTAACTTAATAAGGATTCAATTTTAAACATTTATAAAATATTCATGAAACATATATGTTCTTTAAAGGATTAGGTAAAAATATAAACAAACTTCTCACTTCATAACGACTACAAGTATCTCTGCTATACCGACGACATGTCATCTGCTTTTTTAAAATAACTGGAACCGACTCGACCTAACCAGAAAAGCACATATTCCAGCCGAACCGACAACATGTCATCACCATTTTTTTTTGGAAATTTTAATTTTTGGGTAAAAATCAGACTGATTCAGTGGTCCGAGGAAAAAATCGGACTAATCCGATCAAAGGTCTTTAACTTATGGTTCAAAATTATATCCGAAAGTGTTATTGGTGATAAGAGCTTGATAGAGCCATCTAACTTATGTATTTGTTTCAATATATATATATATATATATATATATATATATATATAAAATATGTGTGATTGTTTTTTTTTTTTTTTTTTTTTAAACAGCAAATCTAACCTACTCTTAAACTACACCTTAAATCCACTTATGTCCACGACGGGACTTGAACCCTCAACCTCAAGTAGGGAGGGCAACACCGGATACCGCTGGGCTACAAACCCTTTGATAAAATATGTGTGATTGTGATGTATGGGTTTGCATAAGGAATTTTTTTCATAGTTTTAAACATATGTAAGTTTCAAAGTTTGAATCATACGTGGGTCTTGCTTACATTTTAGTTGTCCCATTCAAAACACTATAATAGGAAAATCTTTGAAAAACCCAACATAATTTCACAAAATGCTTAAAAAATTATTATATTATTTTTTATTACACTAAAACCTTTATATTTTCTAAAATTCTTATTTAACTTTTTTGAATTTAGAAAAACCTACTTTATTTTCATGAAAGGATTAGAAAAACCATTATATTATTTTTTTAGTGCATTTAAACCCTCATATTTTTAAATTATTTTTAATCTAATGAATTGTAACAATAGAAACGTTAAAAATCGAGTACATAACATTTTTGGCTATCTAAGATTTACCGAACTCAATGCCTTAAATGATACATTTTAAAAAATATAAGAGTTTTAACATAGAAAAAAATAATATAGTGGTTTTTTTAAGATTTGATGAAAATATGTTGGGTTTTTATTAAAGTTATCCCTAATAGTTATCAGGAGGACCCGTAGGCAATCCGAACGATCGTTTATGTTTTTAGAGACCTAAAATTTCTAAAGAGAAAGATTTAACTTTTTTTATTTAATACTAGAAAAATTTATGAATTTTATAACGGTGTGTTTATCTTCAATTTAATTTTTATTATATTTGTGACTTTGAGGGTCATTTTTTTCTTTTCGCTCCGGACCCTCTATTTCTTTGGGTTGTTCCTAATAATTATTATACATATTAAATACCGTTTCGGCTGTGGAACAATATTGGTATTGAGCCGATTCCAATTCCATATGGTTTGGAGTCAGAAGCTGTCTGGTTTTCTTCTTCCATTTGCCATATGTTCTTATAATGTTTCTTTTACCACTCTATTTCTTCTAGTTGTTGTTTTCTGTGTTCATAGCATAATGGAAGACAATAAACTTCGCTCGCTAAACAAATTGTTGATTTTATGTCCTCTTTGCTCACCTCTCTTTCTGTAAACGATCATCTAAGCAATTATGAAAAAAAAAGTTCCATAAGTTCTCTCCACCTAGAACACTGTTGCAAGGAGTGTAGTTGGATGGAGAATCAAACATCATCGTTTGATTTAATGAGTCATATTATGCTTACCAACAGTTAATAGATTATAACATGAACATGTATTACAAGAGTCCTTAGTCTTGAGACCAATTAATAGATTCATGAGACACTCTTAGAAATGTGGAATAAGGGTTCGTCCCTCTTGCACATTTGGAAGTTTACGATTATGAGGTTTACGCTCGTCGTAAAGCGCTCGACATCAAGGATTTACAATGAGAGATGTGTTATCTTGTTGGACATCCCATCAAGACTTTTGGGTAACTGTTTTACAAACTTTCTGAGAACAAAATGTTTGTTGCTTGAAGGACAGTCTTCCAAAAAAGGGAGCTGATATCCAAAATATCTAGTGGGAGCCATACTGATCTTGATAAGGATAAAGAGTTAACCAACGAGGAACCTATAGTTGTCCTAGCTTTCAAATTTAAGTTTAGAAAAGGGTTATTAATGGAAACAAACAAACCTCCAACTCTTCCTAATAAGACTTGATAGAGGACGTAATAGAGTTACTCATATATAATCTATATTACTGAGGAATATGAGTAACTGGTAGATGACAATCAAAGTGAGCCAGCTATCGAAAGTCATGGTAGACCCTAAAAGGCCACACGATTGAAGAATGACATGGAGACCAAGATTCGATCCATATATGTTTGAAACTTATTTGATCAAGCACTTAGCCTTTATCATTGCGCTTAAGCGGATCTTCAAAAGGTAACAAATATGGATGTGAACATACACATATTCAAACCAAGATAGGTTGTGAATAATATGTAAGCTTATAAGTTTATTTATGAACTAAGACAAGCATATCGCATAATGGAATCCTTTTTTAATTGACAGAATTCAGGGAGTTTTGAATTCTGAGAAATGAAGGTGGACCACGAGCATGTCAAAGTCTTTGGGATGGTGTAATTGGAATCACTTGAATTTCGAGAAATGGAGATGAGTCATATATATGAATGTTATTGGGAGTATAATTTTCATCCTTGTAATGTATTTGGATAACACAAAATTCATAGGAAACGATGTTCCAACTTAAAAAGCGTAATAGCTTGGCTTAGCTTGGAATTGATTCGCCTAGAATAACATGGGAGAAATAGTACATGAGGATCTATCTGAGTAATTCATTGGGTTAAGATAGAATCATGGAATCTCAAGGAAACTTGAGACTTAAAACTACTAGAAAGTTCATGCTCATAAATTATGGTATGACATTTAAGCATTGCTAATGTTCTATAATTGAGCTAGAAGAGATGAGTCATATCCCACAAACATATGCTTATGGGATCGATCGTGACTTGTACCAGATTTGATGACTTGTATGCCATAAGCATGATAGATCTCATCATATCAAATTGGCAAGAATCAATGAATCAACATCAAGTATATTCCTTAGTGTCCTATAAAGACCAGCGAGATGATGTTAGTATGGAAAAGATTAATTAATAGACAATTTCTTTTGCAGACAAAATTTGTGTTTTTACTATTTGGTAAAATATTAGTTTGGATGAATACCAAGTAATACACCATAGTGGATTTATGATTGATTCTTAGAGTATATTTCATCTTGTCATAATGCAAAAAAAAAAATATATGTGATTGATAGAAATTCATTAGTGACATTATTGTTGAAATTCAATTGTTGATGGTCCTTATGAACGTTCTTGTGACTATAAGGGTGAGCTTAACTCAAGCATAGATCCCCATTTACACAAGCTCACATGTCATATACTAAAGAACTATCATTACATTTGTGAAGATTGATGGGTTTTATAGAATACATAACATTATACAATGCAGAAATCACTTAATATTTAATGGAGTACAAGCATCGTATAAAAAATCTATGTCATACACTTTGATAGTAACACACAATGAACAACAGAAGTTAACTTAACCCCTACTGATATCGAATTTATAAATTTAAGGTTACATACCTTTGATTTGTTGTAGTAAACAAATCACTTCAATTCCCTTACAGTGATGGTCTTAGAAAGCTTAGCACCTATTGTTGCTATATATATATATATATATATATATATATATATATATATATATATATATATATATATATATATATATATAACATACAATATGGGCCTGATATGAGAACATGGGTTGAATACAAGCAAAACATGTCTAATAATATGGGCTACATAATACATATAATATATACGCTAACATCCCCCCGCAGTCAGAACGGGAGGTCTCGTGCGAACATTTAGACTCGATCTGAAATCAAGAAATAGAGTCGATGGAAGTCCTTTGGTGAAGATGTAGGCATACTGAGATGAAGATGGGACATGTAGAACTCGAACCTGTCCCAAAGTAACCATGTCACCCACGAAGTGGAGATCAATCTCAATATGTTTGGTGCGTTGATGTCGGACTGGGTTTGAAGATACGTAAACAACACTAACATTGTCACAATAAACCAGCGTGGCAGACAAGGGTGGATAAAGTAGCTCACGAAGTAAAAAATGCATAGCCAACAAGTTTCAGCAACAGCATTCGCAACCCCATGACATTCAACTTCAGCACTAGATCGAGAAATAGTGCCTTAACATTTAGAAGACCATGATAAGAGATTCTGATCAAGAAAAACACAATAGCCAGAGGTGGAATGTCTAGTGGATAGACAATGAGTGTTGTTATTCACACTCATTCAACCCCAAAACAACTTTATCAAAACCATTGACATCATAACCCAATTTGATATGACTTATATTACATAATTGACAAATGACTTATAAAACTTTATTTTATATTTAACTTTTTTAACGTCTCGTTTTATACTTTCATTTTCTAATATATATATATATATATATATTAGAATTAATCTCTTTAGAGTTAAACCATTTTGCGCTCACTTCGAGAAATGAATATTAAATGACATCTATTTTTCAAGAGCATTACCATACCATATTAAGGGGGTGTTTGGCTAAGATTTTTTTAAAAACAACTTATTAGGTTCCACATCACTATATGTTAAAAAAGTGTTTGGATTAAAATAACTTATTCCGGTGGGGAACCTCTAATACGTCATTTTTTCATAAGTTAC